AATATTTACATGATACTCTTATAAAACATGTTAAAATTCCTTATTTTCTTGTCCTTTTGATACGAAATGGGCAAAAATGTAATTTTTACAGTCTAATATTTTCATTTATATATGTTCTTATATTTTAGCACAAAACTTATATAAAATACAATTTTATACAGTCTGTTTACAATTTAGTGCAAAAACTTCACAACTTAATACAAACTATTTTACAGTAATTCACTAATTCAAAGAAGTCAAAAATACAAAGTCTACCACCACCACCACCAAACGCTGCCAGCAAACACCTGTAGCAACATCGTAACCAACATTTCATCCAAATCAGATCTGTAAATAAAGTCATGCATTAACAGCTTAAATACTACAGTCACAATCTAATAAAACCTACTAATTCACTCATCTTGAATTTAATGCAAAATAATTATAAAAATTAATAGTCTTCCATATTTATACCAGACAAAAAATAAATATATTCGCAAACAAATTAAAACAGACATTCATACATAAATTACTCATATTTTAACAGATAATTCATTAAAAATTCACAGCTTAATAAAATCAATTCACAATTGAGTACCCAAAATTCACAGCTTAGTATAAAAAATTAACAGTTTAATGCACAAAAATTATACATTCACAACCATGTTCTCAACTTAAAACTTATATATATTATATATATATATATAATTATATATATATATATATATATATATATAATATATATATATATATATAATATAATACTTTAGATCTATAGGCTAGTGCTTCTTTCAAAATTTATTTACAAAAATCTTCACAATTGAAATTTAAATGTTTTACTCAAAATTAGATAAAATGAGATCTGTATATAATGGTACTTTTATCTCATATTTTAGAAGGCTACAAGGAATTATAAAAAATTCATAGCTTAATACAATGAATTCACAACATAATACAGTAAATTCACAACTTAATACAATCAATTCACAACTTAATACAGTCAATTCATAGTTTAATACAGTTAATTCACAATTTAATACAATCAAATCATAGTTTAATAAAAAAAATTCACAGCTTAATACTATTATTTTAATTTTTAATACGGAAAAATTTTACTTCACAATCATATTGTCAAGTTAAAACTTACATTTCAAAACTTTAATTCACAATTTAATAAAGTAGTTTAGGTCTCTCATTCACGATATTTACAACTTAAAAACATAATCGATTTTGTTGAAGCATTTCATCAAATATCTTGTGTGCACCAAACAAAATCACAATTTAATAGAGGATTTTAGGACTCTCATTCACAGTTTAAAAAAATAGTTTAGGACTCTCTTTCATAGTATTCACTACTTAAAACCATATTAATTCATTCATTCACAGTTAAAAATAACTTTAACATAACTGAACAATAGTTGAAACATTAAAACATCACAATTCACCACTAAAAAACTTAATTCACATTATTTAAGAAAACCATAACATAATAACACTCTAAATTCAGTTCACGACATAACAACCATAAAACATAAAGTATGAATAAAAATTAGATGCAAATATTATAACAAATAAGAAAGTAAACATGGATTAACGACTTAGTAACAGAAAAACTATGACTAACATTTAAAGTTTAATTTACAGTATATTAACATTTTAATACACTCATTCATAACTTAATTTAACATATTCACTGTTTAAATTCTAAAAAACTTCAATGTAGCATTTAATCAAACACATTATGTGCATCTTCTTTCTTTCACTTTCCTTTCTAAACTCTACCACCTGAGAACATATCAGAGAGAAAGATAACAAGGAGACGAGGAGGAGAAAGATAACAAGGAGATGAGAAGGAGGTGGTAGAAAAACATATCTAATATGGATCTAGAAAGATTTCACTGTTGATGGAACACATCATAGAAAAAAATAACTTCAAAAGTTCAGGAACAAAAAACGAGTTCAGATGTCAACATTAACGATGGAAAACATATATGATGTGTATCAGACGGCGACTATGGTGGATCCTTCCTGGAACTTCTTCGAGCTTGCCGGAAACTCGCAGGTCTGGACAACGATGCGAGAAAATCGTATATCTGGACCAGATCTAAACGGTGATGGTGGCGGAAAACATAGATCTGAACCAGAGCTCGCAGATCTAGATGACGGTGGTGGTGGAAATCGTAAATCCGGACTATAGAGCTTCAGATCTGAGATCATACATACCAGATCTAACATGAAACATTATGGTAGGAGGCAATAATGGAGGTATTCGATTATGCAGGTGATCGAACGTGGAAAAGGTAGGCTCATTGGGGGTGGTAGGGTCGCCGTCGGCGGTTGTGGCGATGGTGGTTTGCATCATATGTGGTAGAAGGAGATAATAGACAGTGGTTTTTTCTTAAACAATATTGAAAGAAGATAGTAATCTATTTTTTATTAGATCTAAGTTTATCAGATGTAAGGTTAGATATGATGGAATAAACTATGAAATTAGGTTCAACTTTTATATTATTTACAATAATGTCATTTCTTTTTTTTTTTGGATATTGATAGACAAAAATGGTTCTCATAGTTCTTAATTTTTTTTGGTTCTATATATATATATATATATATATATATATAAGATATATATATATCTATCGATCTATATATATATATATATATATATCAGGGTTCATAATTATTTTAACTTTTTGTATGTAAAATAGTGAAAAGTATGAACATGGTGGCAATTACAAGATTTTGTAAAAGGAATTGAAGATCTTTATAGCATTTGATATGCTTAACTTGAAATAACTTTCCATGTATGCAAAATAGCGGAAGGTTTGTATGCAAAATAGAGGAAAGTCAATTCGTTGGCATGCTTTAAAGATGAAGAACTAGATTGACCAACTCGGGAGGCTAGGACCATTTGTGGGCACAAAATTGGTAGTCATTTTGATTTTGAGTTGTCCTATATTCAAATCACATATACTTCAACTTTGAGATGACAGATCGTTAAAAAAAACTAGATATATGTTCTTCGTTAATAAACTCTCCCATCCTACTTCCATTAAACAATTATGATTACAAAATCTAAAGTTTATACCCTTAAACAAAAATCAAACCTAAACCAATATTTAAATGTACAAACTCATTTACATTTATCACTTATTCCAAACATGTAGTCATAGAAACGTTTATTAAAGATTAAAAAATATATATATGAAGAAGAAAAGTAAGAGAAGGGAACAAAGGTGGGTCATGTTTGGAGTTGTGGTGAAGACTTTGGAAGTGGTTTCAATTGATGCATAAAAAAAAAAAAGTGAGGAGTAGTTAGTAAGATTCGGTAGATTTGGGAACCGTATTTAAATTCCAAGCAACAGAACCATCTGCACATCAATCACGCAAAACCATCTTTCGGTGGGTCCAAACACCACCTGAACATTCAGATACCATGTATTTATATTTCATACATAATACCTAAATCACATATAAAAATCATTCAGATATTTATATCATCATAAAAATAAAATAACAAAACCCAAAAAAAAAATCATTCATTTTATTTTCGATTTTCAGCTAGTTTTAACAAACATAAATAAAAAAAATAAACATTTTTCTTGAAAAATATACATACCAAAAGATTAAAATTTAGATTTTTTTAACAATAATAGGGGTTATAAAGCGGGGTCGCTTAGGGTTGGGTGTAGTGAAGATGTAGATACGGAAGATGGATATGATGTTGAAATGTGGGGCCACTTTTAGAGTTATTAAGTTTTCGACCGACGCTGCTTTCCTATATTTTATCCATACAAAAATACAATAATACTTCTATTTAAAAAACTTTGTTACAATTTAAACATTCATATATTAAAAACTATATCTTATTTAATATGAAAAAGGAAGAAGAAGAATAAAAATAGTCGTATTTAATTGAAAATTTAAAAATGTATTTCTACAAATACATTAAACATTTAATTATCTTTGTGCTTAAAGATTTATTACAAACTACTACCATTTCTTTATATTTAATATTATATAAAAGCAAAAAAGAAAATTATCAAAATCAACAATTTAAAATAATTACTATATAAAACTATCATGTATATAAGCAGTAAAAGTTTATATCTCCGGTGTTCGTTTCCGATCCAAAAATAGAATCTTAAAACTTTAAAAAATGTTATTGAAAGTAATCATAAAATTTTATATAAATATTTATAAGAATTTAATAATAATGTTTGATGGCTAAACCAACTTTTCAAAAGTAGTAGTAACATGGTGAATGGCATAAAATTTGGACAATTTTGAAATCAATCATTTGATAGTTCAACAACCCTACAACAATCACATGCATCACATTCTTTAACCCTTTCTTTTACCCTTCAATTTTGGACACTACTTCTTCCAACCTTTCTTCCTTTATATATAACAAAATATATAAAACTTAATTTCACTAATTTTCATTTTGTATAACGTTTTTTTGCCATTTAGGTCATAATTGGTTACTTAGGTCAATTGGTAAGCAAGATATTCAATATAAGCCCACCAATGTTTATAAAGATTATGTTAATAACCTAATTAATGTAAAAATGTTAGCTTGATTATATTTACAAATCATGTCTTTATTACCAACTCATACAAATATAACGAGAAATTAATCTAATTTAAAATTCTTATTTTAGTGAGTTTATTAATTAAGAAATTAAAATAAATAAGATAATTGGTTTATATATGATTGAATTATGAGTGAAGAACAGAATGGCCAATAGACAAGTGCATCTAATGTGGGACCCGTTTTTGTGTTGTCGGGTCCTCTTCCTAAATTCACACTCAACTTTTTCTTCTGTTCTTGGTATCTCTCTTCCCTTATAAATACCATTACCCATGCAACATCTCTCCTAGTACACCTTCTTTCTCTCTTTCAACATCAAACCCATATCTAATCTATATCTATCTATCTATATACTATATATATAGATTCATTTTCATATATATACAAACACATACATATATATATCTATATTATATATACATATAATATGGCTGAACTTGATCTTGATCACTATCAAGCTAAGCCCACAAACAATACGACAACAAGGTTAAAGCTTTTTGGGTTCAATGTATCGGAAGATGAAGAAGTGGAATCCACAAAAACACCATCGGGATCATCAGACTCCGGCGGAGGAGGCTTCCCCTCTTCCGACGGCCGCAAATACGAGTGTCAATACTGTTGCCGCGAGTTCGCTAACTCACAAGCGTTAGGCGGACATCAGAACGCACATAAGAAAGAACGTCAACAGTTAAAGCGTGCACAAATGCAAGCTAGTCGAAACGCAGCCGTTTCTTATATCAGGAACCCGATCATCTCCGCCTTTGCTCCGCCACCTCACCTCCTCACTCAGACAGGTCCGATGGTGATTCCGTCTTCCGCAGTCGCGTCCCCTTCATGGGTGTATGTGCCACGCGCTGCTCCAACATTCCACATGTCGCATGGATGCGTGCTGCCACCTACTTCGTCTTCTCCGACGTCCGGCGGGAGAGGACCAGGGTCGTTATGCTACGCCGGCAGTGTAGGGGAGTCGTCGTTGTCAAGCGTTGGGCCGCAGCCGAATAACCGGGCACATCATGATGACGGGCCTTCGTTGAGTAGGTTTTCCAGGGGGGATGGTGGGCCCAGCTTCGATGATACATTTGGGCTTGATTTACATCTCAGCCTTTAGCCTTGCCGAGCCGAGCTGAGCCGTGTGGTTTGAGCGGGGTCATGATTTGATTAGTTTTAGTATGGGAAAAGATCACAAGCGTTGTTGAATTTTCACCCACTCGGATCTTGTAAATTCTGATTTATTTATTATTTTCTTGGAATTAAGTATTTTAGTGAAATTTTAAATTCCAAATCATGAATAGATATAATAATAAAATAAACTAAAATACCTTAAAAAAAGTTAAAATCCTCTAAATACATGTAAAACTTTCTTCTTTAAACAGATTAATTTAATATTAAAAAAAATGTATACAGTCTTAATCCTCAAAGAATGTAATATTTAAAATGGAAAATAAGTAACATATAATAATACACAAACGTTTAGTTCTTAAAAATAAGTAGATTGTTCTGGAGGAGTATTCTAGTTGCTATATGAGTTGATGGTTAACAGTTGTATTTTAGTTTGCTTTTATTGGATGTTCGTATACGACATCGTTGTGTGTTATGTTTTTGGTTGAACCAACAATTTAGGCGCAGGATACGTACTTGTTGGACATAATCGGTCGTTTTTATGTCCAATCAACTTTAGGTATAAAGTTTGGTGAAGTGAAACATCTTTTGAGAAAGGGATCAAGGCAAGTGTGGATACGAAAAAGTTTTGTCACATCCAAAAACCAAAAAGCAAGTTAATATGGTATTTTGACTATATTTTATCTATAATTGCTCAAAATGCTTAAAAACAAAAATAAATTAACCATAATATCAAACTCGTTAATCAAAAATTACATAAAATATATGTCCTAATAGCATAAACCTCATTATTTTTTACTAATACTCGGTTTGACCATTATATTTTTTGTTCTAGAATTATAACTCATACTTTCAAAAAGTTTCATCACGGCTAGGGGTGTGATAAAAACCAGAACCGAATAACCGAACCAAACCAAATGATGTTTGGTTTATTTGGTTCAGGTTATTCAGTTATTTGGTTAATTCGTGTAACACTCAGTTTCCAGAACAGATCAGTTTAGATCATCAAGGAGTCAAAGGCATGGTTTTGGGCAAAATCGGATGTCACGTGTGACCATAGAGAGGCCACGACGTGACATGTGAATAAATGAAAATTATGGATTCAATTGAGCTCATGACGTGAGACACAAGTGCTCACGACGTGAGATGGGCTGCAGCCCAATCCCATGATCTTTTAGGGTTTCATTCGTATTTAAATCTCATAAACTTCATTTTAGGGTTTATTAACAGCCTCCTTCGTCCTCAAACACAGAAAAATCCTAACCCTAGCCTCTCATTGTGATTCTTGAGCTTTTGGTGGTGTTTTGGTGGCATGAAGAAGAAGGGGTCACCTTTGGAGCATAGATCCAGCTTGGAAGCTTCATTTGCATCTTCTAGCAAGATCTATAGACCTTTGTGAGTAACCAAGATTCAAGCTTTATGACTTCTTATTGCTAGATCTAGGATTTTATACATGATTATCCATGCATTGATGAGTTAGGGTGTTAGGACTCCATAAAGTTAGCAACTTTATGGGTCCTTAGAGTTCATTGGTGATTATATGTGATGGATCTGAAGTTTGGGTGATGTTTGAGCTCATGCTTGAGGTTTTGAACTCCTTTTCTTCATAAATGCCCTAATTTGAGCTCAAGTCTTGCGTTGGACATTCAAGACCTTAAAGCATCGATATTTATGGTTCTTGGAGTGTTATGAAGCCTTCTGGAGAAGATGGATTAGTGGCATAATGAATTAAGGAGTTTATTCATCAAAATGCCATTCAGACAGTTCTCACGACATGAGACTATGCTTGTCACGTTGTGAGGATCGAAGTTCGTGACTATTTTTTCTTTTAGTGGCTCGCGACATGACCAATAGATTTTCATGCTGTGAGGGGTCGTTGACCGTTGACTTTTGATGATCTTTAACCATTGACCTTTGACCAGTTTTACTTTGGGGTCAAACTTGAAGGATTTTGGTTATTGATTAAGATTTTTCCATGTTTTGGTGTTAGATGGCTCATGGGAGCAAGAAGTGCTGAAAGAGAAGCGTGTTGCAGTGTCGTTGGGTTCTTCATTTCAGGTGAGTTTTCCTCACTAAACCCGTGGGTCAAAGGCACCAATGTCGGCCCATTAGTTTTGGTTATCATTTAGTAGAAGGATGCCCTAGGGACTGTATGTAGTCACGTAGGATAGACTGAGGACTCTTGATCTAGGCTTTCTTTCCCGTTCCTTGTTTGGTTGTGGCTTTAGAGTAAGATCATTTGTCCAGGTGTCTATCTCACCTCTGGGTACATATGGTGTATGCATTCCTTGGAGAGTTGGTTATGTATCCTTATGTATAGGATGTTGGTGTGCTATAGTGAGCTGCTGGATTTATATATATATATATATATATATATATATATATATATATATATATATATATATATATATATATATCCTTGTGTGTTAGGATGCAACAGTAATGGTATTCTGGTTAGAGTACTCGTAGGATGGTTATCGTTTAGTGGAGTGCCCTAGGGGTTGTCTGTAGTCATGTAGTGTCACACCCCCACACCGGAACGGTGGAAACGTTCGGGGGCGGAGGACGTCATGTACAAGTATCACAACAATTGCATAATAGTAATCAAAACAAACACAACCATTACATTGATAGAATATAGTATTTTCATCTGTTCAATACATAGTTTGTATGACATCAAAAGTGTCTAACAAAATGTATAAAAGACGCGACTCTAAAAGCTCCGTCTTCTCAAAAGTCGTGGGTGTACCTGTCTACCGGTTCTCTGAGAATACAAGTGGTTTTGAAAGTGTATCAACATTTAAGTTGGTGAGTTCATAATTATGTTTTTGAGATGGCAAGCTTGTCTTTGTTCATTGAAAATTTTATAGTGTACTTCCAGAAAATCCAATATTTTCTTTAGTAGTGAAAAGTAGTCTTAGGCCTTAAGACCAAAATGTACGTTTGATACTGTATTCTGTAATAGTGTATGTAGTCTTATTAAAGAATAAAACCATATCAGGTTTGTTTTCCCTAAACTGTATGTAGTGCTAGAGTACTCTATACTAGGAAAGTAGTGTATGGTAGTAGTGTTTGTTATGAAATCTTTGTATGAAAACCTGGATATCACCAGTAGAAATTTATAGTAGTATACTGTTTGTATGATAACCTTTGTATGTATACCTGGATACCACCAGCTGTAATGTATAGTAGTATACTGTTTGAAAACCTTTGTATGAAAACTTGGATACCACCAGTAGAAAATGTATAGTAGTATACTGTTTGTATGATAACCTTTGTATGTGTTGAGAGAAAAACTTTTGAGAATCACTTGAACAAACGTTAGTACAAGTTATATATTGTGGAATGAAGTTAATCTCAAATGATCATAAAGCTCAACAATAATAAGAAGTTAGGATTGTTAGAGATGTTAGTTGTGGAAATGTAAGTGCAAAAAGTAAAGGAAATGTAAATGACAACAAGTTATATATCAAGTAAACACTAAGCTGATTCTTAACAAGGTTTGCATTCAAACTGAGTCAGTAAATGTGATCAGCTTAAAGTGAATGAAGTCACAAGGACTTGCTCCGAAAGAGAGTTTGAGAGTTTGATCTTAATATATGGGTGTAAGTTCAGAAAGATCTTATAAGGTAAGAGAGAATTATAGAGAGTGATTCAGATAGAGAGAATAGAGAGGTAAAAATGGAGAGGAGTATTTCATTCAAACGATGAGAACTCTATTTATAGAGTCTCGAGAAATTACATGGAGAAATCAAAGACTAAAGTTATGATAAAGTGTCCATGTAAGGTACTGTAACATCCCAAAAATACCAGCTAAAAATTTCATTTTTAAATTAGGTTAATACATAAAAACATCGTTACAAAACATTCATAATATTAATTCATGTCTGAAAACCGGTAACATCATAGTAAAATATTCAGAGTACATCCCAGAAAATCCATAGTGCGGAAACAAGAGTGTGTGTGATATGCCGCTACCGCGCCGGCTCCTTTCCCCTAGCTGAAGAGGTACCTGAAAACAAAACTATAAAACGTAAGCACGAAGCTTAGTGAGTTCCCCCAACGAACCTCATACCATACAATCACATAGCATACATGTCTGCCGGGCATTTCTGGGTGCCCGACCTTCCCCTTCGGTCCTGTCGACCGGATACTGCCTAGCATATCTGGGTGCTGGCCTACCCCTTCGGTCCTATCGACCAGATCGGGGACTGTTTCACCCCCTACTACTACTACCACATAATAACATATCACATAACCCATGCATCATAATCTGCTAGCACATAAAGCATATCAGGTAGTGACAAACCTAGGTGATTATCACACAGACAGTCACCTATCATACGACTCCTACTAGTGGGCCGGCATTGTGGCCTTAGACCCACTTTTACTGGAAGGTAACTCACCCTCGAGGGTAGCTGCTGAAAACCGCTCAACCTACGCCTGGCTGCTGCACCGGTAAAAACCCTCCGGCTATAAATCTGTAATCATGGATTAGGTACTCATAAATACCCCTTAGGTCAAATGACTGGTCAAAGTCAACTTCTTGGTCAAAGTCAACTCTCTGATTGACTGGACTCGCCGAGTCCATATAGCGACTCGCCGAGTCCTTCTACGTCTAGCCCGACTCTGACTCATCGGGTCCCTGTTCCCACTCACTGAGTCAGCCTGACTCGCTAAACGGGGACAACTAACAAACCCGCGACAGGACTCGCTGAGTCCAAGGGGGGACTCGCCGAGTCCGACGAACAGATCTCTCAATTCGCTCCAATCTTCCATCAGAACATTAACCTTGGAGATTTGGAGATTCTGGGACTATAGCTACTCGTTAAATTGCTAATTCCACGTGCGACTATGAAGGGGTTGGACCTCCTACACTTAAACCCTTCTTATCCTAGTGACAGTTCATATGACTCGCCGAGTTTGAAGAACAACTCGCCGAGTTCAAGGCTATATTCAAGGGACTCGCCGAGTTTGAAGAACGACTCG